GACAAAGAGAGGTTGTATCAGTACTTGTTCGGAGACTCCGTGAGGGGAAGCCATGCATATCAGTCCACTGCGGGAGCTTCAGGTGAGAACGAGTCTGAGCGAAGGAAGAGGGAGAAGGTAAGGAGAGAGAACAAAATGCCATGGATGGATGAGTACTGGGGAGTCCTTCAACCAGAGCCAATCTACTCGAGGACTCAAAGGTGGTACGTCATCGATGACTTCAAGGAGGGTGAGGAGATTTGCTGCGACTACTGCTTGGTCTGCAATCCCATAGACTCCGATCAGAAAGATGATTGCTATGCAGAATGCATCAACGGAGCAGCAAATAGGTGCCGTGGGATGTCCGCAGAAGACTACGTCCAGAAGCGGTTCCATGCATGTGCTCGAATGCTTTACAACTTCGGCATGGGGCAGACGGTATCATCTCCCACCGTCATGATCTCTGAGATGAACCCGCACGTAGACCTGATGAAGTTCTTACACGAAGCGATGGTCATCTTTAACGGGAACCCAGGTTTCCAAAAGGAGATCTCGTTCTTCGGGGGGATCAGGTTGTCATCAACAATGACGGAGAATTTCTTCAAAACGAGGAGAGGGCCCAGCATCCATGTGGAAAAGCAGATAGTTGGCAGCGCCAAGTACTACCAGGGATCCTACGACCTTGGCAACGTGTGCTACACCAAATACCTCAAGACCATACTGGAGCCCGAGGTATTCCGAAATATGTTCGGAGATGATCCCTCGGAGGAACGGGTAGGTGATATGGTGGAAGCGCTGCTGGGCATGTTAGAAGTTGCTCAACTTTTCAAACACCTGTTCGTAGGATGGGGTGACATTGAGGCTTTGAGGACGGGATTAGAAGAATCCATCAAGCGCGTCACTGCATCGCTGTACGACAGGACAACGTATGAGAACCGAAAGCGATCGATGATCAGAACATTGGACCCGCACTCTGAAGAGGCAGCAAACGTGGCACTGATTCTCGTACGCATGAGGACCATGCCGCCTCCTGAATTCGATATCGACCACTTCTTCGAAATTGGGAAAGAACCAGAACAGGGAGCAGAAGCTACTGACCAGCCCGAGGCCGAAGGTGTCGATATGGAAACTGAGGGTGAGCAGGAGAAGGAGGAGCAAGACGTTGACATGTCCGATCCGAAGACATCAATACTGCAAGCCATCGACGAATTCGAGAAGAAGATCGGGCAAGCAGAATTCTGTATCCACTGCATGAAGTCGGGACACACAACTCTCAATTGCGAGAAGATCCCTTCATCTTCACCCACAGTCACCTCAGTGCTGAGTGATTGGAAAAAGAGAGTGAAGGGAGAGGTTGCACCCGACGATGTACCATCCGGACATCCAGCAGAGGAGCCTAAGAAGAAGAAGCAGAGAGCATCGCCTACTCCAGATAGGAAGGTCGACAGCGAGTTCAGGCGAAAAGAAATGTTGAAAGCAAGAGTCGTGACAATGTTTGACCATGACGGGTTCACCTTGATTGAAAGTGCTGATGGAGTCGAAGGAGGGACACATTCCTACAACGGGCGGAAGCTGGCGGAAGTAGGCCCTAGGGATATGAAGGTGGTGTACGAATTTGTAGAGAAGGCATTCGTGTACTCCAGTTCCCTCAAACCAAAGGCATGTCATCAATTCTATCCCCTACCGACACGGAGGGAGAAGGGATACAAGCCGATCGACCCCATGACAATGATCGGGAGAGTTGAGCTAGTACCGATCAATGGAGTCACTTTCGCTGCACAGAACTCCGACTACGGCAACCACAAGTATCCGACTCCAGACTGTCGAGTACCAGAGTACAGCCAAGCGAGCCAGGCCCTGAGTCGCCGATTGGGAGCGAAGTTGAAACATCGAATTGGACGCCAGTTCAGGACAGGAGGAAGACTCACTCCAATCAAATGCGATGAAGGCGCGTGGGTGTCATGGGAAGACCTATTAGGTGATAACGCGGTTTGGGAAGACGGTTATCACTATGGCAACATTGACATCGTGACCAAGAAGGCGCGTTTGGAAAAGTACCTCGACCAGAACTACGAGTGTTTCCGCATAACCAAGAGGATCAGATTCCAAATGTTGGCGGTTCGCGTTCACCCTGATGAACTCAATGATCCTGATGACCCGATGGAGAAGGAGTGGATTGACGAGCTCAAGGGCATGGGAATCACCAAAGCAAAACTCCACAATAGCAATGGATGGTGCTTTCCCGTGGCCGTAAGAGCAACCTCAGCACACTCGTCGGACGGCGGAGGTTATGACGTCACCATCAACATCGACCACATTGGATCGAGAATGACCAACGACATGGCCCTATCCATGGTGACTGCATTTCACGCTACCAACCTTGGAGCGCTGACTTCAATCATGCGACGGGGGGCTGGTGCCAGGAGGTCTCGGTTCATCGGGAAGGGACTCTATCCACTTCACATGTTTTCCGCCATGGGCCTGGGAACAGGGCTACAAGGGAAAACCTTGGCTGGGTCGTAAGGTCGCATTGAGTGATCGCCCAGTGGTTCTCTACATCCCGGTGTGGAAGCTGCAGGAGTACGGGCTTCTCATCTCAGCGACTGGATCTCTATTGGTTGAGGATGTCGTTCCCTTCGATGAGGTTAAAGGGGCATGGTTGCAATGCGACAATGCAGAACCCGGACGGCCTGAGGAGATCGAATGGATCAGGTTACTCAATAGAGAACCCGACCCTGGAAGCTACCTTGTTCTGGAGTCCAAATACGGAAACCCGATCATGACTCCACGCTATCAAAAGCTTGAGAGTTTGGCGATTGAGGTCCAGGACGATACCTACTCCGAGGACGACGCCAAAATCTCAAAGCTGTTGGGCACGATCGAGGAGAGTGGTATCTACCCAGAATATGATAGCACTGAGTGGCAGGAGATCTTTGAGGAGATCGTATATCGCCGAGCAATGAAAGACTACGATTCAAGACCGTGTCCTAACTGCCTTGGCGAAGTCGACGTGCGATTGACGATATGCCCGCATTGCGTAGCGGTTTTGATCGCGAATGGGAAGCTCACGCATGTGGTACCCAAGGAGACAAGGGACCGCAATCAACGATCACCTCCGAGAGACGTGCCAGCCAGTTCTTCCGGTGAAGCGACTTCTTCTGCAGGTGCAAACATCGATGAAGTCATCAAGAAAGCACGCAAGACAGCCGAAGAAGTCATTGACGTCGAGGAATCCGAAGGAGAGGAAGACGAGGAAGTTCCTATCATTTTGAAGGAACGACCGGACGAAGCTGAAGGCGAACCCGAGTATCGGGAGGTCCCTCAAGATGGATACGGGAATGAACTTCCACAGCCTTTCCCCTTCGCAATTGACGAATTGCCACAGGAAGCCGCGATCCCCATCGACCACAACTTTGCAGTCACACAACAATTTGATCTGAGGTTGATGAAGTTGATCAAGAGCTTGGCCAACGCAACGTTCGACATCAACTGCTTTGAGAATCGTGAAGACGTACTGCGAAAGTTCGACGATGGACAGCGGCATGACACTCCATTCAATAGATGGCCATTAGTACCGAATGATCCGGATACTGGGTTTCCAAGACGCCTTCAGAGAGCCGAGGTCGTGGGCATGAGCAAATGGACCAACGACACGTATGCAACAGAAGCGTGGCAGATCTATGAATTTCACGCCCACGTTATTCACCCGATGATGATCACTGCAATCCGCTGCGGGCTTAGCCACAAGTATCTCAAAGAGGTCGGCAGCACTCGGCGTAACATGAGTGATCCAAAGGCTCGAAGATCTGAGACCCAGGAAGAGATCATCGAGAAGCTGGCATTCATCTCAAATTTCATCAGACGCTTGATTAGGAAGACTTTCGGAGCGAGCCGATACAGCTACTACCAGAAGCCAGATGACGAAGGTGCCGCTCCATACAAATTCATTGACATTAGCCCCGCCATCAAATCGGAGCGGAAGAATGTCACAAAGGAGATCCTCGTTGCATGTCGCTACTATGGCATAGAGGTATCCGATATCCAAACACAGAAATTGAAGCTCTTTGAGGAGCAGATCCGAAGGGGAAACCCAAGGAACGTTGAGCTCATCAAGGACTACATTGGTTTTGTCGGAGCTGACTACATGCGACAACTCACGAATGGTTGAGCATTGGGGTCACGCCGACATACTACTTCCAGTGCTTCACGTACTGAGGGATCTTGGGTAATTCATGATGACCATTTTGGCATCATGGGAGTGAGATAGGATTGTGTTTCACACCGTCGGTAATCGCATGATACCACAGGTAGATGCACGTTTTCCATTTGTAGCTCCGTTACCTGTTTGATC